AGGAAAACACCAAAAACCCTAGCAAAACCCTAAACCTAAAAAGATATAAGCTTTTAAATTATAGGGTTGAGTCGCCAGCAGAGTCGCCAGCTGTAATAATCGGAAAAAATTAAGAAGAGTCTCAACCATTAACTTTTATCTTAAGGATAGGTGAATAACGGAATAACCTTAAATAGATTCAAATATTATAGATTCTTGACTCGCTTTAGACGAAGGGAAGGTGTTACGCACCCTTCATCTACCTTATTCACAAGGATACTAGGGTTTAAGTTAAAGGTTTAGGAATAGAGTTTTAGTTTTTTAATTAGGGGACTCGCTACAGTTTTTAAGTTGTATGCCTACGTATCCTCTTATGAGGAATCAGAGTTTCAATTCGTAGTATTGGTTGGTGTTTTTTATAGGATTGCATAGAATTGATTTCGAATTATCCTTGAACCTTGTCTGGGTTATAAGTTGAGTGATCATAGACACAGTTCATAGTTAATTTTGAAAGTAATTCTATGTAATCCTTTTTTAGAAAATGTCTTGGGTTTTATTATGTTAGTAGAAAAATGATTTGATCGTTGGTTAGTTGTTTTGAATTTCGATTTGATTAAAGAGTATGGTAGGACACAGAGCAGGGAGAGTCTGCTGGGGACTCAAATGAAGAGGGAGGCGTGAACGGCGGCGAGGCGGCGGTTGAGGGTGTTGGATCGAAAGGACCAAAGGATTGTTAGAAATTTTTGGATATGTTTCTCAGAGTTTCTGTTCAGAAACCCTGGAATAAACCAAAAGTAAGAGAAAGAATGAGATTGTGAAATTGTGGATGAAAAATTATGATGGACGATAGTCCTATTTATAGCGTTAAAATTAGGTTAAAAAAACTTAGCAAGTAAGTTATCCAAAAACCAAGATAAGCCCAAAGCCTGATCTCTAAAAAAGGAAAGAAAATTAGTAACATAAAATAAAATAAAAAAGAAAATGTTAAACTACAACACAAGAGATTCAAACCCACGATCTCATACTTGTAAGCTTTATACCTTACCAACTATGCTATGTTAATCATTTGAAATAAAAATCCAATTGAAAGTATATGAAAGTGAACAAGTATTTGTTATTTAAAATACAAATAATTTTAAATAAACTATTATACATTTTTAAATGAGCGAAATAAATTATTGTTAAAATGTTAGTGAAATTGAACCAAAGAATATTATAAAAACCAATGTTGAAAATATTTTTTACGGTAGAAATAAAGGGCAGGTAAATTTGGGGTATGGCACCTCCTCAACAGGTTCGGTCACATGAACATTTGCGACAGGATCGACCATATCACCTGAAAAGCAGCGGAATAAGGTGAATTCGATGGTCAAATCAAATCCATCCTTCCACCACAAGTCAAGTGAAAGGGAGCACCATAGGACGAGGATACAATCCTCGACCAAGCCCCTGCTCGAGCTCTCGAAAGAAAATCAAAAATACCCCTGGGCCAAAGGCGCGGTCAAAATCGGTTGGAAAAGCAAAGGCGAAGACTTCACAAGCAGAAAAATCTTCCCCGACTTATAAGTCACGCGAGGGATCCATATTTTTACTAAGAGACATATGAATCTCCCGAGGAGAAACATGAATATCACGGGCGAAGTCATGAATCTCCCGGGGAACCCATGATTCTCCAAGAGAGAAACATGAATTTAGCAGGCGAAATCATGAATCCCCTAGGGAACCCATGAATCTTCTAAAGAGAGACATGAATTTTGCGGGGGAAATCATGAATCTCCCAGGGAAAGACAATAAAATCTATGAATGACACTGGGATAACCTTCCCAGAACGCGAAATTCGTACAAAACATATATGCTGCAAAAATTAAATGGATCATAGATGAAGGAAAACACTTACTTGGTTGAGGATTCATTCTGGAGAGTGCTGCGGAGGCTAGAGGTGGATCGGAGAAAAAGAAGCGAGAGGGGGTGCAAGGATTGTAAAAGTAACAAATGAATCCTTAAACCTCTATTTATAAATCCTGCACGGAAGACAAAAAGTAACCTCGACATGCAGCTACCCACGCGCCTAGGTCATAATGACCCTTACACCTAGGCCATCATTACACCTTAAATGTTGTGACATGTGGCCCAACTAACAGACACCGACCGAAACTCTTCAACTCCCCGATGATGGGCGAGAAAAACTTCCTCATATGCCAGCATACCACTACTCTCGACCATAACGTCCACATCTCATCCCCTTTTCGCAAGGAAGATTGTTAATTTGGACGATCATTTTCCCTCTGCGGAGAAGATTGTTAATCTGGACGATTATTTCCACTCTGCGAGGAAGATTGGTAATCTGGATGAACACATTCCCCTTTTTTTGCATACGCTGGACAAAAAGCCGATGCCCGAGTAATTGATTCCCTTACACAGGTCGATGATAGAGACTCAAGTGAAGCCGTTAAGATCCTCGACGCCACTGCCTCTCTGACATACGAGTTAATCTTAAGTCATAATTCATATACTTAGGATCAACAACTTGGGGGGCTCCTATTCTGGATTGGGCATGCGCTTAAAACAAGGCCCAATCCACTTCTGCTAGGAAGAAGGACCAATGCAGCGGTCCACACTATTATAACTGTTGGCGGCCTCTTCCCACATGCCTCTGTCGAGTACATCCTCCTCGACATGTGCCCCATTGAATCCTTCCCCAGCGTCTACATGCCTACATGCCTGACATGAACACTATGACCACATGCCCGACATTAGCACCATGTTGGTAATGCCCTGACATGGGAACCATGCCCGCGCGCATGGGAAAGGTATGTGACCAACATTCCTCTGAATAATACCGAGTCATTCTTCTCCCGTAAAGAATGGATCTTCCCCTCCGAGAATTCCAGAGCAGTTGAATCAGGATAGGGACTACGAACCGGCCCCATCTACCCACGTAGGATCTTGGAAGTTTCCATTATGGGCCTAGGCATCCAGTCCAAATGGAGACCTTGGCCCAGTGTTGAGGGCTATAAATACCCTCTCTTACTAGAGGGTCAGGTACATTATTCTTCATACTTTCGTTACTTGCATTCTGCTCTGAACTTTATTTTAGCATTAGAGTGTCTTGTAGGTACCCCTCTCCCACTTCACTTTCAATCGCCGTTTAGTCCAAACTTCTGGGCCATCGACGATCCCTTCTGATCAGGTACGATCAATTAGATTCATGACTTTGTCAACTTTACTTCCTTACTATTTCAATATTTCAATTTCTAATGTTAGTCAAGAGCTTAGGAGTTGCACCATTGATTTAAATTTTTTTATTGTGAAATCAAGTGAAAATGAACATTATCCTCTAAATTATGATTCTTTGGTTGTAATGCTCTGTTCTAATGAGTTGAATTTCAAATAGCATGACTTAATTTAGTTTTCTATGAGTTTTAAGATACTTGTTATGCATGCAATGGTTTAAATGATATTGTTTCTTTGGTGCTCGTAAAGTTTTGCATATTTAGAAAAATGAGATGCTTATGAGATAATGAGATTCTAAACTCATATGATTTTTCAAGAGAATGATGTTCAATTGTTCATCAAAGTATCTATGTAGTCAATAATGTACCAATTAGCCCTTATTTCAGATGCTTCTGAAGAAACAATACTAACTAATCAACTAGATGAAGAGATAATTCCAATAGTTTTTCAAATCATTCTTTATAGATTCAAGAACAATTGAGTCAAATAAAGAATTACAAATATGGTGGAAAAAGATTAGAAATGTTAGACATGGTGACAAAAAATAAAATAGTAACATAAACCCAAAATTAGAGATTAAAACCTTAAAAAAATTTAAGAACTAAAATCAAAAACATGTCAATTTACAAGGACGAAAAGAATATTTAAGTCATAATTTTTAGATTTGTATGAAGGTTGGGAATGTGATAAACTTAGAATTCAGTCACTAATTTAGTTTTTAATCTTTAACGACCGAATTAGTGATTTGTGTTTATATCTTCATCCTAACCTTCATACAAACCCAAAAATTGTCTAAATCTAAAAAATTTCAAAATTCAGAATTTAACCGAGGAACGACCATCTTGTCTCTACAAAATACATACAATATATTCTTCAAATAAACAATATTATAGTCTTTGAAATGAGTGATAAAAAATTAGCATAAAAGTTCCGAATTTACTTAAACAGTTCTATGAATAACGGAGTTGATAAGAAGAGAAACAGTATGTGAAGAATGAGACAAGGAATGAAGGAAAATGTAGATGCTTTTTGCAATGGAGTTTGGAAAACATAATTGAAGGTGAATGTGAGAAAAAAATGAAAGTTGTAGATGAAGTTTGAATGTGAAAAAAATGGAGTTTTGAGGCGAATTGATGATATTTTTAAAATTTTATCTTCTTATACTATGTTACACTAGTGTTACGTCATTGAATTGTCACGTCGTTGAACGTTTGCCACCTCTTCTTTTTTGTAACAGAATTGTCACGTCGTTGAACGTTTGCCACCTCTTCTTTTTTGTAACGGATTGTTAACTTCGAAGATTAAAACCAAACCAAACTCAACACTTAAGAACTTCATAAAAAAAATTATAGACTAAAATAAAGAACTCATCAATTTACAAGGAAAAAAAAAACCATTTAAATCTATCTAAATTTATTTTTTCCCTTATGTGATGATCTCTATCGTCCATTTATTTATTAATATTGTTGACTTCATATAAAAGACTAAAATGAGTGGATAAGTTTAGGTAGAACCATTCAGCCACTAGAGGGATTACTTCACGTAAAAAACCGCAACTTAGAAAGATGGATTGAAAATTCATTTATATTTTTCGATTAAGATGTTCAACTTCACACATTATGAAGATAGAGTTGAAGATGAAGATAAAGTCAAAGATGAGAAGAACCCTGCCTAACATTCTCTCTTTCTAGAAAATTTTCATTCCTATTCATATTGCCTTTTTCTTTTTTTTCTTTTTTTTTACTCTTTCAAACAAAGCCACTCTTAAATAGTACACACCTTCCTCTTCAACTTCACCACATAATCAACACAACACAACAAAAACACATTGGTCCCGTTCTACTTTCGTTGCATTCTGTTTCCCTTTGTTATTGTTAAACATTATATCATCCTCACCTCTGTCAATATTTATTTCACCTCGGTCAATATTTATTTTAGAGTTAGAAAAAATAGTGCAACCTGAAACTTGTATTATAATCCAACACAACAAACCCCAAATGTGTATTGGTCCGAGACAAATGAGAATTCATAAACTGTACTACCAAATAAGAGATATTTACAGGACACGCATAAAACACAAGACAACTAAACAAGGTTTTCTTTGTTTCTAAAATCTACACTTGGTTTCCCTAACATGAAGTGGATCAAGAGCCTTCAAATCCAATCATCGATTTTGAAGGACAGCGTATTCAAACCGTCACTATTGAAGCAGTATAAAAACGAACTGTTCAAACGCATACAAATTTCAACCAGCCAAACAATTGATTTACAATGTATAATTTTTTCAAATAAGTTTAACATATTCTTCTCCATTTGACGTATGTCTTGATGCTACGACCATTTTCTGAAAAATAGCATTAAATCCCTATTAAGTTGAATGCCTATACCACGAAATAAAATATCTCAGGAGAAAGTAATTTGGATACATAAAGAGCACCAAAAATATATTATTTTACAATGAGATTGAATCCCATTGGACCCAAAAGCAGCTAGGTATTTAAACCTGAGGAAGGATCAAGCAAGAGGTTACACAAATTGCAGATATTATTTATGCTTACCTGAAGTTATTAGGGTATTTGATATTGCTCTGTACCCTCTTTAAGCACCTGTTCACACACCAAACATAAATAGGTTAAACAAGAAGAAGAAACTTACCAAAATGTATATATTATTAGCTTGCACAACCTCTAAAAATGAAAGAAAAAAAATTCATACAACATTTTGTTTATTTTATGATTTGATGGCATATGTTAACAACAATATTTAGAATTATTTTCTGACAATTGCAGAAAACAGCATTTTAGCAGATAGAGAAGAACTTGATAATCTCTTTCACCAAAGAAAGATTTCTTATAATCTCTTTTGGTTTGATGTCTCCTCTTTTAAAAGACTTGAGAATAAAAAGATCAAAGTGCAGAGCAAGTTGTGGATACTATTTTAAACATATGAATGCATAAATGCAACACACAAATGAAAGAAACTGGGGATGGAGATTCGGTAGACAACTACGTTTTGACCCTTGGTAGTGATGTTTCAATGGTAAAGCTGTAAATATTAAGAGGGATCTTCTTAATAAAGAAATGTATTCGATTTCTAACTTAGAAAAAATAAAAGGAAACATTTATAAGCTCATATGTGCTTGTGGAGAAGCTACATGAGAGAGCTTATAAACAACTGAAAAAGTTAGGGTATGGAAGCTAAACTCAAATTCTCAACTTACACAAGTTATTAATGAGAAGACTAAGCTATCGCATGATCATTCCAATTCCCTTCCTATTGATAAACTTATCACAACTTGGTCGGTAAAAATTCAAAATTGTTGGTTCCCACAATTCCACAGCTAAGCATGTCAACCACCAAACTGTAGTAAAGTAACGCAAAACTTGTCATCAAAAGTCCAGTGTTAACTACTTGGCTTTAACAAACACTTTGAATGCTATAGTTTGAGTTTGAATTCAGCATGAAAAAGAGGAATCAGTCCTCTAATGAATCCCAAAGGGCACAATTATTAGTTGCAGTTAAAAAGTTAAAGTCTTATCTGGGTTTTTGTGGATTAATATTGTTCATGCTATTTTACATCACCTCCTAGGAGTTTTTCTTTACTTAAATTTTTTATTGGACTAAATCTTCTAATTTCTCATAGAGTTTTACTTTGTGTTGCTCTTCTATCTCTACTTTGGTGCAATTACACTATCATCCTATCTCATACCATATTGACATCTAAACAACTTCCATAGTTCTAATCCAATACTTATCTATAATAACGTATGCCAATTTTCAGGTGCATGTTTGTTTTTCTGGTGGTAGCCCCAAACAGACATTTTCCCAAAAGTATAAAGAGCAAAGCTTCTTTGTTAGCCCACACCGGTACTCGTGAAAACAGATGCTTCCGGGACTGATAAGTCTAATTTTTTAGTCTGCTCTTGTGTCTACTTTGTTTCTCACTATAACTTGACTTAGTCGTTTCAGGATTGTCAAATATCAGCCACGGGAGATAGTGGTGGCGAACTTCAACAACCTCCATGGCCAATTTGTGATAGATAGAGGCGCCATGGCATTTTATGGAAGATATGGCAGAGCTAAAAATGGCAGATTTCCACCATCTTCCATCGATAGCACTGTGTTATTTTCTTGTTACTTACTAGAACAGGATTCTTGGCACAACAACTAAAATGAATGTTAGTTTTTCTATTACACACATTCAAAGCTCTATTGGATGCAAAAGCAACAAATAATTTCTCTCACTTTATTGTGTGTTCATGGAAAATAGGCGTAGAAACAAACACACCAAGAGTTGTTGTCGTATGACTAAAGGTCACAAGATCAATTCATGGAACCAATCTCTTTGCTTTGTGAATGCAAGGTAGAGTGATAGGACTCAGTTAGTTGAGAAAGAATTGCCACGTGAGCGGCTGATTTACAAGGAATCAAGTGGACCCCAAGAGTGGAAAGTGTATTCTAGAAGGAAGGGTAAGAAGGGAATTGGTGGCTAGTTAGTTATAATATTGTGACGTGGCTTGAGTGAGGAGAGCACTTTGCAATCCATTTCCACGATATAAGGGATCAGAGGGAGAATGTAGATCTTACCTTGGATTATAGTGATTTACTAGCATGAATAGGGAGCTATAGCTTCCTATTAGGAGCCTAGCTCTTGTCAGATCTAGGGTTACATTCCCTTTTCTGTAACTGTTTCCCATTCATATTCACTATAATAAAGCTCTCTTTTCCTCTGTTTTCTGCTTGTACTGTTATATTACTACAATTCTGTGTTTTAGTTCGTATCAAGTGGTCCGACCTACCGGATTCCGACGAAGGAGCCAGTGAATGCCACCAAAAAAGGTGACGTTAACGGTGTTCGCAAAGATGGAAGCCAGGGTCGAAGCGTTAGAGAGTGAGATCACAGAGGTGCGTTCAACTCTCGTCGAGATGCAGAACTCAGTAACGACAAACCATGCTAATCTGATAGCAATGTTAGAGAAATGCTTGGGTAAGTCGTTGACCGTAGACGAAGGAGATGCGAGCGTGTCCGGCAAAGGTCCAAAGAGTACGGTTGTCAACAACCGTCATGGAGAGGCGTTGACAGAGTATCGCCAATCCGTGAAGAAGGTAGAACTGCCGTCGTTTACCGGAGAAGATCCGGCGGGATGGATCTCACGGGCAGAAGTGTATTTCCGCGTCCAGGACACGATACCAGAGATGAAAGTGAGTTTAGCTCAACTGTGTATGGAGGGAGCAACGATTCATTTTTTTAACTCTTTGCTCGGAGAGGAAGAAGGGTTGACCTGGGAATCGTTGAAGGAGGCTTTGTTGGAGAGGTATGGAGGACACGGGGAGGGTGATGTTTATGAACAGTTGACGGAATTGAAGCAAGAGGGAACGGTTGAGGAATATATCACAGAGTTTGAATACCTAACGGCACAGATACCGAAGCTACCGGAGAAACAATTTCGTGGGTATTTCTTACATGGGTTGAAGGCAGAGATTAGGGGAAAGGTACGTAGCTTGGTGGCAATGGGGGAAATGAGCAGAACAAAATTGCTCCAAGTCACAAGAGCTGTGGAGAGAGAGGTGAAAGGGGGAAACGGGTCAGGCTTTCATCGTGAGTCTAGAGCTGGTTATAACCCATCTCATAATGGGTCATCAGGAAGGAAAGCTGCATCTGATTGGGTCATGATAAGGGGGAGAGATGTTGGGCCACATGGGGGTGTCAAGAGTGGAGTAAGTGGGCTCAAAGGAGACAAACAGGCCCAAAATGAAAAGAAACACACTGGGCCTCGTGATAGGGGTTTCAAACATTTGTCTTACAATGAATTGATGGAAAGGAAGCAAAAGGGCTTATGTTTTAAGTGTGGAGGCCCATTCCATCCTATGCACCAGTGCCCAGAAAAACAACTAAGAGTTTTGGTTGTGGAAGAGGGTGGAGATGATGTGGATGAGACCAAATTCTTGGCTATAGAGGTGGATGAAAGTGATGAAGAGGAGAAGGGGGAGATGAGTGTACTTAACTTGCATCACATTGCACATAAGACTCATCATACTATGAAATTCCAAGGAACAATACAAGGAGTAGAGGTATTGATTTTGGTGGATAGTGGGGCAACACATAATTTCATTTCTCAAAAATTAGTGCATCAAATGGACTGGCCAATTGACACTACCCCTCAAATGACGGTCAAATTGGGGAATGGGTTACAAATAGCAACACAGGGGGTGTGTAAGGGAATGGAAGTGTGTATTGATGAATTCAAATTAGACCCAGAAATGCATTTATTTGAATTAGGAGGAATTGATGTGGTTTTAGGCATTGAGTGGCTTAAAACATTGGGGGATACTATTATTAATTGGAATAAACAAACTATGAGTTTTTGGAGTGAGAAGAAATGGGTGACTCTTAAAGGACAGGAGGGGTGCAGGAAGCCTACAGTAGCTTTGCAAACTGTTCTCAGCAAGCCCAGGCCCAATATGCAAGATTTATTGTGGATAGTAGAGAAAACAAAACCCAAAGAGGCTGAAAAAGGTCCGTTGCCTGTCCAACAACAAAGGGAGTTAGAAGCATTATTACACAAATATGATCAAGTGTTCCAAACCGTGCTAGGCCTTCCGCCGACAAGGAACAAGGAGCATGCGATCAACCTTGTGGAAGGACAAGGAGCCGTAAACGTGAGGCCGTATCGTTATCCCCACCATCACAAGAATGAAATTGAGAAGCAGGTGAAGGAGATGTTGGACACGGGGATCATTCGCCACAGTACGAGTTCGTTCTCAAGTCCGGTGATTTTGGTGAAGAAGAAGGACTGCACATGGCGAATGTGCATTGATTATCGCGCTCTAAATAAGATCACGGTACCTGACAAATTTCCTATACCGGTGATCGAAGAGTTATTGGATGAGTTGCATGGAGCTACGTTCTTTTCGAAGTTAGATTTGAAATCGGGGTACCACCAAGTGAGGGTGAAGGAATCTGATGTGTACAAAACAGCTTTCAGAACACATGAAGGGCATTATGAGTTCCTTGTGATGCCGTTCGGACTCATGAATGCGCCGTCAACGTTCCAAAGCCTAATGAATGATGTGTTTCGCCCTCTGTTAAGGAAGCATGTGTTGGTCTTCTTTGATGACATACTTATCTATAGCAAGAGCTGGGAGACTCATTTGAAACATTTAGAAGAAGTGTTGAGTTTGTTAGCTAATCACAGCCTAGTGGCTAACAAGAAAAAGTGTTTTTTTGCCCAACAAAGTGTGGAGTATTTGGGGCACATGATTACTGAGCACGGTGTAGCCGTAGATCCTGGAAAAGTGGCAAGTGTGACTCAATGGCCACAACCTAAGAATGTAAAAGGGGTGAGAGGATTCTTAGGACTTACAGGTTATTACAGGAAGTTTATAAAGGATTATGGGAAAATTGCTAGACCATTAACTGAGCTGACCAAGAAGGACAGTTTCAAATGGGGAGTGGAAGCTCAGCAAGCCTTTGATGAGTTGAAGTGGAGGCTTACATCAGCACCTGTGCTAGCTTTACCAGATTTTTCAAAGAGTTTTATGATTGAGTGTGATGCTTCAGGAGGAGGAATAGGGGCGATATTGATTCAAGATAAGAAACCAGTAGCATACTACAGCAAGGCCCTTGGGGTGAAGAATTTAGCAAAATCGGCCTATGAAAAAGAATTGATGGCAGTAGTTTTAGCAATCCAGCATTGGAGACCATACTTGCTGGGGAGAAAATTTGTAGTATCAACTGATCAAAAAAGCCTCAAACAACTACTGCAACAGAGAATTGTAACTGCCGAGCAGCAGAACTGGACTGCTAAATTATTGGGTTATGATTTTGAGATTGTGTACAAACAGGGTAAATTGAACAAGGGAGCCGATGCTTTGTCCAGAATTCATGAGGGAGGGGAGTTAGCTACCATGAATTACCAATGGAGATGGCTGCATATGGAACAGGTTAAAACAGAAAACCAACAGGATGGAAGGTTGCAGAAAATAATAGAAGAGGTTCAACAAAATGCAGAAACATGGCCTGGGTATGAGTACAAGCAAGGTGTCTTAATGTATGAAGGTAGGTTGGTGATTTCCAACAATTCTTTGCTAATTCCTACATTGTTAGAGGAATTCCACTCAACACCTCAAGGAGGACATTCGGGGTTCTACAAAACTTATAGAAGAATTGCGGCTAATGTGTATTGGATAGGCATGAAAGGAACCGTACAAGACTTTGTAAGAAGATGCGACATTTGCCAAAGACAGAAGTACATGGCTTCATCTCCAGGAGGCTTGTTACAACCTCTACCCATTCCTCATCAGATATGGGATGATTTATCGATTGACTTCATCACCGGGTTGCCAAAGTCAAAAGGTTTCGAAGCTATTTTAGTGGTGGTGGACAGACTGTCAAAGTACTCTCATTTTATCCCTCTGCGACATCCATATACAGCTAGGAGTATTGCTGAAGTATTTTGTAAGGAGATAGTCAAACTCCATGGCATTCCTCTGTCCATAGTAAGCGATAGGGATCCCATTTTTATGAGTAGTTTTTGGAGGGAGATGTTCAAACTGCAGGGAACTAAGCTGAAAATGAGTACCGCATATCATCCCGAATCGGATGGGCAGACAGAGGTGGTTAATAGGTGTTTGGAAACCTATTTGAGGTGTTTCATTGCAGATCAACCTAGGACATGGGTATCGTGGATACACTGGGCTGAATATTGGTTCAATACAACTTTTCACGCTGTCACCGAGAAGACACCATTTGAGGTAGTTTATGGAAGGCCACCTCCAAAACTAATTCAATGGAGTCAAGGAGAGACTAGAGTTGAAGCTGTGCAGAGAGAATTATTGGACAGAGATGAGGCTTTGAGACAATTAAGGAACCAATTATTGAGAGCACAAGAGAGGATGAAGAGTCAAGCTGATAAGAAACGCACGGACAGGAGTTTTGTATGTGGAGAATGGGTGTTTGTCAAGCTTAAGGCTCATAGACAGCAATCAGTAGTGACCAGAATTTGTGCGAAATTAGCAGCAAGATACTACGGTCCTTATCCCATTATTGAGAAGATAGGAGCAGTGGCATACAGACTGAAGCTGCCCGAAGGGTCCAGAGTGCATCCTGTTTTTCATGTTTCATTATTGAAGAAGGCTGTGGGGAGTTACCACGAAGAGGATGAGTTACCCGAGCTATTGGAGGAACATATTGAAGTGTATGAACCAGAGGCGGTACTAGCCACTAGGAAGGTAAAAAAACAAGATGAAGAAATAAGGCAAATCCTCGTACACTGGAAAGGCAAGACAGCAGAAGAAGCAACTTGGGAAGATGAGATAATGATCAGAAGCCAATTTCCAAAGTTTGGCCTTGAGGACAAGGCCATTGCGGAAGGAGAGGGTATTGATAGGACTCAGTTAGTTGAGAAAGAATTGCCACGTGAGCGGCTGATTTACAAGGAATCAAGTGGACCCCAAGAGTGGAAAGTGTATTCTAGAAGGAAGGGTAAGAAGGGAATTGGTGGCTAGTTAGTTATAATATTGTGACGTGGCTTGAGTGAGGAGAGCACTTTGCAATCCATTTCCACGATATAAGGGATCAGAGGGAGAATGTAGATCTTACCTTGGATTATAGTGATTTACTAGCATGAATAGGGAGCTATAGCTTCCTATTAGGAGCCTAGCTCTTGTCAGATCTAGGGTTACATTCCCTTTTCTGTAACTGTTTCCCATTCATATTCACTATAATAAAGCTCTCTTTTCCTCTGTTTTCTGCTTGTACTGTTATATTACTACAATTCTGTGTTTTAGTTCGTATCATAGAGCTAGCAGGTTCAAGTTCAACCATTACCAAGACCCTGCCATGGTGGGAAGAGGTCGAGGCAAAAACTTGGTGGGCAGAAGGATTTCAACCAGCTTGGATGGTAGAAAGAAGGATTTCGTCCAACTAAGATGTTTAGGGACATGGAGAAAGGGTGAGGTCTTGTAATGGCAATGAAAACAAATTATGATTTGGGGTTAAGGGTAGTGTTTATTCAAGGGAAACAAATGGACTAAATAATTACAAGTATATTTCACATCTTAGGTACCAATATAACTAAATCATGATAGCCCGAAAGTGATGGCAAAATGATCATTATCAACAAAAATGAAACTAAGAAAGCCAACTTGCAAAAAGCCAATGATCATTATCATAGCAAAATGCCAACTTGCAAAAATGAAAATGCAAAACAACAAAAACAAAAAACTAAGAAAGCAACATGACCCCGACCCAAACAATGTAATTCCAAAAGTCCAAAACAACATGACAATCCACTCTAAGCCAAATGAAAAAATATGAAAAGTTAAGGGATCGCTTCCTTTCCTGCTTTCGTTTTGGCTTCAACTAACAAATCATGAATCACATGATAGAATATAAAAATACTTTTCTCACTATTTTCTTTGACAGTTTTTGAAACCAAATTCAACATTTCAAGAAATTGAGAAATTCAAAAACATCATTTTTATTGTTTCTAAAAATGCACTATTTCTAGCTATCCATCAAACTCCTTTCTATTATAAGTTATAACTATATATTACATTAGTATTCCTTCTTGTAAGCAAGAAAATAACAGCATCAACAACAACAACAACCAAAACCAAGTTTTATCCCACTAAATGGAGTTGGCTATATGGATCAACTTCCGTCATAATGTTCTTTTATTCAGGACCATGTTTTTATCTAAGTTGTTAATCTCGAGATCCTTCTTAATAACTTCTCTTATAGTTTTCTTAGGTCTCCCTCTACCTCTAAGACTACTTGCAATGAGGGTGTTGAATAAATTTTTCAATAGTTGAATTGCTCCAATGGATTGTTGAATAAGGTGTTGAATGTGACATTGATTAATTTGTGTTGAAAACATTCAACATGTTAAATGAGAAATGAGTGGGGGCAACTTATAATACTTTGCAAAATATAATTGGTTGTTGTGATTGTTTATATTTTTATCTCACCTAAATTATTTGGAGTCAATTATTTTATAGAAAATCAATTTTTTATTTTTTTTTTTATTTTCACCAAAATTCATCATTTTTTTTCTATAAATAGAGCCTTGGTTCATTTCTATTATAAGTTATAACTATATATTACATTAGTATTCCTTCTTGTAAGCAAGAAAATAACAACATCAACAACAACAACAACAACCAAAACCAAGTTTTATCCCACTAAATGGAGTTGGCTATATAGATCAACTTCCGCCATAATGTTCTTCTATCCAGGACCATGTTTTTATCTAAGTTGTTAATCTCGAGATCCTTCTTAATAACTTCTCTTATAGTTTTTTAGGTCTCCCACTACCTCTAAGACTACTTGCAATGAGGATGTTGAATAAATTTTTCAATAGTTGAATTGCTCCAATGGATTGTTGAATAAGGTGTTGAATGTGACATGGATTAATTTGTGTTGAAAACATTCAACATGTTAAATGAGAAATGAGTGGGGGCAACTTATAATACTTTGCAAAATATAATTGGTTGTTGTGATTGTTTATATTTTTATCTCACCTAAATTATTTGGAGTCAATTATTTTATAGAAAATCAATTTTTTATTTATTTTTATTTTCACCAAAATTCATCATTTTTTTTTCTTCTATAAGTAGAGCTTTGGTTCATTTGATTTGGACAAAGAAAAAAAAAATCTATTTTTTCTCTCTAATTTTTCTATTTAACCTCCAATAAATTATTGTATGTAGCTCTAAACAATCTTTTAGTGAAATGAATCACAACAATAACTCTGCATTTGCAAATCACGTGCGTACTAGATCACTGATGCGTGATTCAAATATACATCACGAATTGCAAGCGGATCTAGTCAAACATATATGGGTAAAGTTTGGAATGTTTCGTGATTAAATAGATTGTTTGTGAGTTGAGTCTATTGTACTAATTAAGTTATGTGTGTTTCATTTTAAGTGTGTTGTGTGTTATATGTATTGTATTGCATTTTAAGTTTTTTGTAATTACGAATATAAAATTAGAGAAAATAAATTAAAATAAATTTTTAAATTAAAAAAAAAAATTTAAAATAAATTATTTACCTCTTAATTATTTTAATTTAATTTCAATTGATAATTATTATTAATATATAATCAAGAAAATAAAAATATGAAATAAAAGTGGTGGGGTAAAGTGTGGAATTTTATTAAACAAAACCATTGTAGTGAGTAAAAGTGAATAGGTGTTGAATTATTAGGTGGAAGAGAGAAGATGATGTGAAGGGTAAAAAATGGGAAAAATGAGTGTTGAATAATTTTACCATTGTAGATAGTCTAATTATTTGCCTCATATTTGATTTACTCTCCTTATCATTGAATCTACATATTTTCTCTATACATGTCCGAAGTTTATCCCCCTTCATTTTTTCTACTACAAGTGTTACTCGACAGACACACCCCAATAATAATTTGAAAAAAATGAATAAATTAAATGTAATCACAAACAAATGTAGGAGTAGTATTCAGATACTCACATAATTTTTCAGAAGCGTATGTGAGAATTTATATAAAAAATGGTAGAAAGTTTTAAGATTTAGAGAGTAAACCTTTCTGTTCATCATTAGCATCATGATACTCCTCATGTTCTTCCTCAGGCACCGGATGAAGTTCCACTTTTTCACAACCACCAACACTATCTTTCCCCAGAACTCCACCACCATTACTCTCCTCCGGATAACGAACAACAACAACAGGACAAACACAGTGCCGAACACAATAATCACTCACACTCCCAAGTCTCCCCGTAGACGATATCTTCCCCGCACCGAAACCCCGACTCCCCATGATCACAGCACTCAACCCAAGCCTCTCAACCTCCAAACACAATCTCTCCTTCATGTCATGATCCTTCACAATGTGGATCTTGAACGGAGTTTGCGACTCCACCAACGGTTGCGCGAGGTCACTCGCTTTCGTCGCCGTGAAATTAGCGAAATCGTCTTCGATTTTCTGCTGTGACTCCTCTGAGGAATCCCCGTCGTTGATGTTTAGGGTTTTTTCAACGGGACCCCAATCGGCGCCGTAGAGGACGCTGGTTGGACGGACGTGGAGGAGGATCACGGTGTCGCCTGGTCGGAGGTAGTTTTGAACGGCCCAACGGACGGCGTAAGCGCTTTCGTCGCTGAGATCGACGGCGATCGCGACTTTGCGATGAGAACCGGGTGGGAGGGCGAAACGAGCCGGATGATCCGGTTCGGGCCGAACCGGTGATTGTGGGTTCATGTTGAGATGTAGGGAGAAAATTACGATTTTGGTCACCGGAGAGAGAGAGAGAGTTGGGGTTAAAGATAAATCGGAGTTTAAGGAGTAACGGATCAAAGACTAAGGAGAGGTTTCTTTCAATTTTATTCTTTTTTTTAATGTTGTTGAATTTCTATCATCTTTCCTTCCCTCGTTTATAAGCGTCAGCACGAAAATTGTCCAATCTATAATATAAAAACGTGTCTCTTAAAATTGTTTGTTACTCTAATTTTATTTTTCCGTGGACGAAATTCGTGTTATTGTACTAATTCCGTATGTCTTCATATCAATGTTTATCAAATTATTATTTGTAAAATATAAATTTATTTTTTATTTGGTTAATATTCACATAGTTATAAATAGAGTCTAATAATATGTATTAAGTTTTAATTATTGATTTGTCTTTATAATAAATTGTACAATCGATTATTTAACTTCAATTATATATAAAGATTTAAGAGAAAAACATTAAAATGTACCGTCTACAACTGATATCTTATAGACACATTCACATATACTCATTGATATATGCTTGCAAGTACATCATTACAATGAACAAACATATACTCATTGATATATGCTTGCAAGTACATCATTACAATGAACAATTACAAACCGAAACAAAAAGAAAAATTTAAAAGATAGACATTAAAACAAACAGTCTACAGTTGATATTTTATCGATACGTTCACATGTACTCGTGAATTTATACCTGCAACTATATTATTACGATAGACAATGTTAAATTGAGAAATAAAATAATAAATAAAAAAAACTCTTAAATTAATATATTTGACCACGAGAGAAAATATGAGAAAAATAAAAAATTAATATATTAATAGTTTTTTCATTTTCACCATCTGACTCTTTTAGTTCAAAAGAATATTGAAATTTGGAAAGAGAATTCAATGTTTTAGTTTCAATTTCAATTTGAAAATAAAAAAATGATTGGTCTCTTTGCATATTCTACACAGAAAATTTACATGAAATGCATTAGAAACCGTCACATAAGCAAAATTTAATATTGGACTTCTCTAAAGCAAGGAAAGCTTACATAGTCCAAAATGCCACCCATAAGCAAAATTTACTTATAGCGTGTTTTGTTTCACGTTGAGCATAAAAAAAGCACGTTTTAAAATCAGTCTAACGTGATTTTTTCATGTTTTTGAGAAGGTAAAAATCTTAGCTTTAATTTAAAGCGCTTTTGGAATAATTTCCACCGTGAAAACAAACAGAAGTTTAATGTGAAAAGATTTAAAACTTACAATTTATTCACATGGCAGACTAACATTCAAAACATAAGCCACATTTTAGAGTTTCAGTTTCTTAAAAATAGAGCCCATGTTTAAATGTGCTTTTAGTTGTATCTTGTTTATAAGGATTTGCATAGAGTGTTACATAATTTAGCAGATATAATATGTGACATACACATATTCATTTATATATACACTAATTATTGCAATTTTCAGTTTGACACCAACCATAAACTTATAGCACATATACTTAAACATATTCAGTGGTTATAATAATTGTGTATGACTTAAATCCTATTAAAAGACTATTTAGAGACATTAAAAAATATTAGACCATGATACTTAAGGTCAAACATGTAATAAATATTATTTCATCAAATAGTACCGTATTATATATATATGTAGAACCGCATAACATAGAGGACACGAGAGAAGTGCTAACCAAGCATTGGTTAAATTAGAAACTAAGTTCAAATTTGAGTCAATATAATATGGCTCCATTATATTAAAGCATCTCAGGTTTGACTACATAAAGTGATTCAGATCACAGACAAACCAAATCCACATGCAAAATTGTGAGGGATTTATATTAAAATAGAAAATTGAATATTCTCTCTACTTCACAAACAAAATTACCTCTCAAATAAATTCCCCTCCAAATCATGGTTTAGAACGTAGATCTTTTTGCTCGAAGTGACCAGATTATTAACACAATATTATTTTTAGATCATGCATTCATGTAGTTGTTCATGTGTTTAATAAATGAAATGGGAAAAAATTAATTTAAAAACAGTAGCACATGTTTTAAGCTCATGCTCATGTATGCTTTATAGTAAGCGATAAAAAATTGTTAGATTTAATTTATATTTTAGAAATATATTTTTGGATATTAATCTATATTTTAGGAATATCTTTTTAGAAGATATTATTATATCTTTTTATATTTTTGTTAGAGGATATTTAGGATTTTATTTTGTGTATAAATAGTCTAGTGAGATAGCTCAATGTAATTCATTTGTAAATCATTATTCCTTATTTCTGTAGCCGTTATTTAATATATTCTTTTTGTCTTTCATCTCTTCTTTGTGCACCAATAATTGGTATCAGAGCTTCGGTTCGAAATCCACGGGAAAACGAGAAACACGAGAGAAAAGTGAAGTGATGTGTGATAATCGTTGTTTCTGGTTCTGGGAATTTGGGAAACACTGCTTTATTGAGTTTCTGCGTAAATTGCACAAGGTAGAAGATGAACGGAAACGGCGGCGATGTACATTCCAAGCTTCCAGTATTTGATGGAAAAAACTGGAATCGTTGGAAGATCCATATGTGTGTGTTATTTGGTTCTCAATATGTGTTAGATCTTATCACTGATGACTATGATCTGTTAGAAGTAGACGCAACAGAGGCACAAAAGATAATACAGAAGGCGCTAAGGAAGAAAGATCAGAAGGCGTTGTTCTACATCCATCAATATGTGGATGCAAATGTATTTGAGAAGATTGTTGATTCTGAAACAACAAAGGCTGCGTGGGACACACTGGTCAGACGTTACGGTGGTGACACATCAGTGAAGAAGGTGAAGCTTCAGTCTCTCAGAAAACAATATGAGAATCTCAACATGAAGGACAACGAGAAGGTTTCTGAGTACATCTCTAGAGTGATTCTGATCACTAATGAGATGAAAGCTTGTGGAGAAACTCTTTCTGAAGAAATAATCATTAAGAAGATATTGAGATCTTTAACTTCTCAGTTTGATTACATTGTGGTAGCAATTCAATATTCCAAAGATCTGAGCACCATGAGAGTTGAAGAGCTGCAAAGTAGTCTAGATGCGCATGAGTTGTGTATGACTGCGAGAACTTCTGAGAGGGAAGTAGAGCAGCAGGCTCTGAAAGTAACTTCTGGTAAGAAGTATCATAAGCAGACTTGGTCAGAAGCTAGGAAGAAAACTAAGGGTGGTCAAAGGTCAGAAGATTCAAACTCTGATAGGCAGAAGAATATCCAGAAGAGAAAGGAGAAGTCTGACAAGAAAAATATTCAGTGTTACTGTTGCAAGAACTTTGATCACTATGCCAAAGATTGCTGGTCAAACAAAGAAAGGAAGTCATAAGAAGCAAATATAGTCAGAGGAGAGTCAGATGATGAACCTGTGCTATTGTTGGCTTCTGAGCCTGATGATCTGAATTCATCAGAATGGTGGTATATGGACACAGGGTGTTCAAACCATCTTACTGGAAATAAGAAATGGTTGGTTGATTTTGACTCTGGGAAGAGTACAAAGATCAAATGTGTTGATGATAAATACCTCAATGCAGAAGGTATGAGAAATGTCAGAATCATTCTAAACAATGGGAAAGCAGCAGTGATCCAGAATTTATGGTATGTACCTGGCATGAAAAGCAATCTGATGAGTGTGGGGCAACTGATTGAGAAAGGTTTTTTGGTTACCATGAAGGACAATCTTCTGAAGCTGTATTACTGTAATCAGAAGCTGATTATGGAGTCAGAACAGGGAAGAAACAACACATTTAAGGTAAATGTTAGAACTGCAGACTTTGAATGTCTTAGTGCAACAAGTGTTATCAAGGAGAGCGAGTTGTGGCATAGAAGATTTGGTCATCTGAATTTCAGAAGTTTAGGGCATCTGAAATCAAAGAATCTGGTACGTGGAATTCCTACAATCAAGAAGCATGAAAAGTCATGCAAGGTGTGCATGGAAAGGAAGCAACCAAGATTACCATTTGCATCAGAAGTAACTCCAAGAGCAAAACATGCCTTGGGAGTAGTACATTCTGATGTGTGCGGTCCTTTTCCAGTAACATCAACTGGAGGGAATAAATATTTTGTGTCATTCATTGATGAGTTCACCA